AAAAAATAGTCAAATCTTTCACAAAGCGACCTAAACATCGAGAACTGCTTCTCTAGAAAACAGACAGAAACTATAGAGTGATAGAAAAGGTTCAACCAAGTCATACCTCTCCAGTAATCGGATTCACTCCTCCCGGATGTTTTTTGAGATAAGGATCCTCGTAAGGCTTCTGCAAGAGATAAATGAGTGCACACTTTATCAAAACATTGAATAGATACCATTTCATCCAGTTTTCCGGCAGGGGTCTTCTTCTTCATTATCTCTTCCTTGCTTATCTTCTGCTTCGGCACTTTCGGCTTTTCGGAACTGAGACATCGAGAAGGAGCTAGTCTAGGTACAACTCTACCAAAGACGCGAAGCATTCTGCAAGACACGAGTGATGAAAAAGGAACGATTATACCAATATAAGAAGAATCTCGAAATGAATTGATGAATTCCGTGGAAAGAACCCTCTGACGCAAAACTTGATACCGAGAGAAATGCAATAAAGACTGTTGTACACCAAATCAAACCAATAACAACAACAAAGGATGTATACTTCTCACTTCAGAAATCTCATGCCGAAAATTCATGGAAACTTTGTACAAAACTAACAATGCAACAATAGCGATACACGTATAGTCACTGAGAATCTAATCTGAGATCCTAGCCTTGATTTTCTCTATTTCCGGTTGCAAAGCTACGAAGAGGTGTTCCCAAAACAGCGGTTCTTCTTCCTCAATGTCCGATGAGAAAAACACCTGTAAAAGTAAGGAGAATCGAGAATACCTAACCAAGCTTCGGGAAATCTTAGCAAAATTAGATGCCTAGGTGGTTTTGTGCTCTAGCTTAAATACAAAACAAAATCTGATTAGATCACGCAAAGTTATAAGAATTTCGCTTACTTGTCGACCTTGGAAAAGTTTCGCTATCCGCATGGTTACGGCTTTGACGCACACATTTTGTGTATTCGGTGTATCAATTAGCATTGATGACATTGGAAAAAGTGCCAGTCCTAATGATGTGATTTCCCTATAATCAGTCCACAAACTCACTAACGCCGAGAAGAAAATCAAGTTAGCTCACTTTAACCCAACCCAAAACCAGACACAGCCATCCAGTACCAGCGCATAACCCTGATATTCATGATTATCAAATTTCAATTCGAACTCTAACCGCATTTTCTGAAAGATTCATACTGCACCTTGTTATAAGACAAGCCAGCTGAAGCTTGATTACATGTACAAGGGCAGAAGAGAAATCAACAAAGAGAGCGTCAGGCAAATTTGTCGAAGGCTTTACAAAACATGTGGAGGACTTCATCGCCGTTGTCATTCATATTTCATCACATGGCGATCAGATTCAAATTTGCCGTTACGTTTCTCATTTGTGCAACTGCACAAGAAAGCGAAAAGTGGCCACGGAGCATGACAACTCTGAACATTGCCACTCATACTTGATCCAGATCCACTTTATCAGCCACAAAACACCGACTTGATCAATAACAAAGTACACTAATTATGACGGGATGACGTGTGCCTTCCGCTAATAAAGTTTTCCTGCTCTTACTCGCTTCACCGTAGGTGTTTCCCCATATCCTAATTCAACAACTCTTCAACTCTTGCAGGAGTCATAGAAATCCCAACAATATTCATTCAGTCTTCAAGAAGTTTTCCATAGATAGAAATTCTGGGAACTCAGC